TACTCGTATAATGGACACCTAAAAGGAAGTTCTAACAATTTCCTTGGATATTCACAACTTAACCAAAATGAAGCACTTAACAAATTCTTTTATTACTATACTAACTTTTTTTTGTATAACTTATCCATATTTTACTTTTTATTCAAATGTCTGAAACTCAATTTATGTTATGTGTGCATTTGTGCCTGCTTGCATGCATGCATGCATTTATGTTGTTTCCCCCTCTCCTTGGCACTACAGCCCCAGAGGGCCTAGGCCTACCTCCAGGAACTTCTCCGTTCACTTCAGTTTGTCTAGATCTTACACATTCGGTAGGACTCCTTGGGCGGGTGATCAGCTCGTCACAAAGCCTCTACCTATACACGAACACAGAAAAACGCACACACACAAACTAAACATCCATGCCCTGAGTGGGATTCGAACCCATGATCCCGGTTTCCAAGCAAGCAAACACAGTACATGCTTTAGACTGCTCGGCTACCGTGACTGGCTATGCATTTATGTTACAGTTCTAATGATAAGATTTAAAAGATTAGATGTCAGTATTTAATGTTTTATTCGTATGAACTACATTAAAGGTGGCAGTATTATATCTGATTCTCAGGTTTTACAGTAATTTGTGTTATATTTCTTCCTGCAGCAGTTGTGCTGGCTACATTAGTGTTCTGATTGCATTGCACTTAAGAGCACTGAAGCTGTTGCAGCTGCACAAAACATTGAATTTGCTGCACTGTGTAGATCAACTGTAAGTTTGGCAAAATTATTTGCAAGTTCAGGACCTTGGTCATGTAAAAAAAAGTATGTTGTATAAGAAGGTAGACCATAGGAACTGTTGAGTGAAATTTCTCATGGTTACTGTTGACTGATCATTATAGATTTCTTCCATTGCTCAAGGTTTTCTCAGTGTCCATATGCCAACAGTTTATCGTTCTTCTTAAGTATTCTGCATATTTTTGGCTTTGTTTTATATGTGAACGTTTGATCTCAGTATATGGAATATTCACAACATATAAAGAAAACAATAGGAATTCTGAAATTTAATACTTACAGCCCGTCGTTTTCAAGTTTTATACACTGTTATCGAGAACGAGATATGTGACATCTTTAGACACTAAAATGAACTAATAACTAGTGTTCTGTGTTTTGCACAGTACAATATTGTGTTCAGTTAGTGTTCTTGTCACGGAAGTAGCTTGTTATCAGAAACATGTAATGGCTGTTCCCATTGAATGTAGAAAGGCATACTCTGTTTTGGAGTATGGGGTACACATAATTTTCATCGAACATCGAAGTAACTCATACTTAGCCTATAAATTCTAAATATTTGTAGCTACCCTTATTGCTTTGACATTTACTTTTAATATCATCAAATATACAAGGATCACCAGTTTAATGCTAGGATGTCATGTGACAGACCACTGCAGCAGTTGCTCGATCTCAAGAAACTAGAAGTATGTGAGATTTGAGATTCATACAGCAATGGCTATGAAGGTCACTGACTTTTGACTTTTGTGGCATAATGGCATGTAGTCTAGTAGAAGCCCAGAACATTTCAGGGAACTGTACTGCCTCCATTTTGATGGTCAAAGAGTAAGTCCCCCCTCCAAAGCAAGAAACAGGTGGCTGTGCTTGCCATCTACTTTTTACAATGAGTGAAGCAAGTGCTACCCAATTAGTGCTGACCACAGCATCCCTAAAGCCCATTGGTTAGTGTGCCACCTAGTGACGAAGTATAAAGATGTGGACCTCAAACACACTAGCCGCAGTCACACACTACACTTAAATCAGGACAGCAGAACAAGAGCAGGGTTCCAAGGATCAATACCATCAGACTACTACACATGGCAACAGCAAGTCTTCTCAGAGCAACACCAGCAGCCGACTCCGATAGTGGCTACCTGAATCCACCAGGAAGCTCATGGCCCAACGGCTGGTTCGCAAGCACTGAGCTGCCACGCAAAGAAGATTGCCAATTCTAGCACAGCCTGCTGCAGTAGGAGCTTCAGCCATCATTCATCAGGTTTGGCCAGCTTCAGACCCTTTTAGGGGCCAACAGTATCACTGTCGTCATTAGCACAGGCTAGTCCACTGCAAAAGGAGTTTCGCCAATATCCATCAGGTATTTCACATAGTGGGGGTGGAGTCCAGTTGGGTCCACTTGGCAGTGGCCACTAATTGGCCTATTTATTGTACCTGCCCCGCGTGATTATGATGATGGAGAATTTGGTGGAATGAAGACTGGCAGGGGAAACCAAAGTACTTGGAGAAAACCTGCCCCAGTGCCACTTTGTCCACCACAATCCATCAGGCATGCTCTGCTTCTCTGTTCATCTGTATATTTATTCCAACTACAATAAATATTTGTTTTAGAAGTTTATTTGGTTGTCTCTCTCTGCTGCCGGAATGGACATCCCACACAAGGAATCCACCAACATATATCTGGTAGTTCCTCCAAACATTCAACCCAGCTTGGACATCTCTCCCATCTTGACTCCCATTATTGCTGTAGAAGTCAGAAAACTAGAGCTCCTTCCCTTGCAGATTATGTGTGAGAACTATGTTTTATGTTGGTACCATACAGAGAATTTCTCCTTTTAGTGATGACTTCTATTTTGCTAGTACTCTGATTTTAAGGACAGTAGCTATGGAATAATGTATGGACACAGATGCTACTAGGCCTCATGTGTGGAGTTCTTCAATGTTTTTAATGTTTGTCTTAACTCTCACAGATTGTTTGTACTGTGCTTGTTATAAATATCCTGTCTTATGCTGGTGCTTATGCTTGGAGATAGGGACTAGCTCTATCAATTGGGTCAAACTGAGAAGTTCCACAGGATGACAGATAATGTCCAGAAACACAGTAGTTGTATTAATATACCATTGTCACAAACTTTAGAGCTTATCTACATTTTTGCTGGATTTTGACTTGGCTTGCTCCTTGACCCTGAAGATAAAAGCAGTGCAGTCTCCTGAAATGTTGATGGATTTTTACCAGAATACCTGGTGTTACACCTCAGAACACAGTATTCTTCAAGATCTGTTTTCGTTGTCTTCTGTCTCCTCTCCCATAGTGCCTTGTGACTGGTCATGACTGTTTCTTCCACTACGTGTCCTGGTTTATTGTACTATTGTACCACACCTGCCCCACCTCATTTAACACTGCACAGCTTTAATTGTTGACAAAGTGTCATAATTGATAACATACAAATACCTCAACAATATACTCTATAGGACCATGATATAGGTGAGTAAGTGCCAGAACTTTAGGTGATAGCCCTGTAACCATGTCTTCATTCAGTGTTCCAGTATGCAAAGATGATACATTAGAGATTATGTTGTTGGAGACTCCTCAGACGTGTGAGGTTTTCTGTTGTAATAACAGAAAATTGTTCTGGAGTATAAATTCTCAACTCTTCTTCAGAGACTTGATTCTGATTGTCTAGTGAATAAAATATAATAACACAAAGCATGTCCCTAGTGTTCTTGTCAGATAGCACTTTGCTTATGGTCATACCTGTATATAGAAACAGGACATTAAGTTTAAAGTCTCTGTGCTCACACATGAATTCCAAACTATTATTCTGAACTTTCATAGGACATGGAAGAGCATAACAGGTGTCTTTCTTGCATCCAGCAAGCCTGGCTTTTTGGCAGGGGTTTAATTGATGGTAGGGGGAGAGAGTTTTCTTATAATTTTATATAAATATATTGGATCCCCTCAAAATATAAAATCAGAAAAATTAAGTTGAAGCTTCTTTGCAATAAAATTTTGTAATTTAAGAAACATTAGTCTGAACAGTGTTACTTCATCGCCCAGTATTTGGAGCTACAGACAATTAAAGATTTATTTGCAAAACATAAGACAGTACAGTTATATAATGTTAAGTGTAAAACATTATAATTATTATTATTATGTCATTACTGAATATGGATGGCAGAAATATTATTTGAGTCCATATAACTCTTTAGCCCTGGGTGATGAAGTTGACTGTAATCCTTGTAAATAAGAAAGAAGATTGGTTATTTTCCTATGTCTGAGAATTCTGAATGAATGTTATAGTTTTTAAACATACGTGTGACAACAAATAGCGAGGTATGAGGGGAAATATATATTGGGATGATGTTCACTTTAATACATTTAATGGAAAAATTCTGTGTATCTTAATTTATCGCATGTTATTCAAATGTGTTGTTATGTAATCATTTATATACTTTGTTGCAGAATGTGTTTAAAATCAGTCTGAATATATGAAATTGTAGCTTGAGTTCATAGCTAGATTTAGATTTTATTTTTATTTTGCAGTGAATAAATGAACATTGAAATCTCCTGTAGTGTTCTTTTCATATCATATCACTGTGAGGGTATGGTCATCACGAACGTAGTTCTGTTTGTGAGGTATCTCAAGGTTCTTTTGTTAGAATAATGCCATAATAGTGTGACATGAAAGCCATAAGTGGCAGCCATTACTAGGCAATGACAACCAGCAATGGAGATTTTTCTGCTCTCATGCTTGTGTCATTGGTGGCTGGCTAACATCTCACAACTTAACCACCAACTCATGGCCTAGTTATGATCAGTCAGTCAGTCAGTTAAATTGCTGCTGGTTTCGCCAGCACAGTAATTCCTGGTTTCAGTTTCCTCAAGATCCATGACCAGGGTTTTTATTCTCATTTCTCATAGAAAACACAAGTTTCCCACAGTTCCTCTGTTGTTGCATGTCGATTCATTGCTGCAGAACTGTGTTGTGGTTGCAATTGCCTAACAGTGGCCATCTCTTCTGGCTTTCATGTTACAGTATGTATGTAGGAAAAATATGTGTATGCCTGTTGCCTAATAGAATCATAAATTTTAACTTGACTTCAATATACAGCATGAAACTGGAGGGGCAAAATTATATTAAGTGATGAAATGAGATGATTGACTGGAGCAAGGTCAGTATGTTTGTGTGTATGTCAATTAACCCGAGTACATGTTATGTTTTCTTGAATCTCTTACGAAGCTTATACAGTTGGCGCTTCCCCCTCCCATATTGCAGCAATAAGGATTCATCTGGGCCAGACTTGAGCATGGAGAAGCTCCCCGAGACCAAAGTGTCCATGTAAGAAGTATACCAATAACAAAAGTGGCTGCTTGTTTGGTTACTTACCAGCTTGGTGTGCATGCATGAGCATGGTGCAGGGCAGCAGTATGATATTAGACAGTGTGGTTGTTTTGAATTTGTCTTTATAAGCACATGTACATATGTGATTTGCATAATGATGTATGTTTTACTGGAAACCCATGTCACACATTTACAGTAGTTGTCTAGTATTATAAATGCCTAGAAGACAATTTTTCTGAATGATTTATTGGGTATGTTCCTGACAGTGATATATTCATAAACTAAATTCTTCATGAAACATAGAATTAAGATTTAATGATGACATATGAATATAAGGGCACTACTGCCAGAAGTAAATAAAAAAAAACAGTTTACACCCACAAAGACTTTGTTTTAAAGTGATACACAGTAAAATTGTCTGTAACATTACTGCTGATTTGTGCACATTTTTGCAAATGCAGTTCCTCATTGTGTTTAAATAATTTGAGGTTTCAGGTTCTGGCAGAATGCTGACTATGGAAAGGGCTGTGTTACACCATGTAGTCAAGCAGAAGTACACTGACATTTCAGAGGGACATACTATCTACATCACCAGGGTTGAAGAGCAGGCCCAGCATGTAAACAAGCAGCAAGTAGCTCACCATTTGCTGTTTGCTTGCTGGGTTTACTCCTTCACCCTCAAATGAAGGCAGTATGTCCATCTGAAATGTTGGTACACATCTACCAGACTGCAAGGCGTCACATCTCAAAAGAGAATTCTGCTTTTGAGGGTTGTTTTTATTTCCTCAACTTTTATTAGCTATGAGAAGAAAATCCCTTTCACATAGCCCAGAATGAATTATCACACATTGTCAAGTTTGGATTCCACAACAGTGATGTGTCAACCCCTTGTCTCCTTGAATATCTATAAAATATGTTACAGCATTATCAGGCTGTGAAAACATTATGAGCTAGTTTGTCATTTTATTAAAGTATATCCACAGATGTTCTGAAATTAGCTTCTCCAGTTCTAGCTTATTTACACAACTGTCATTAAAAAACTTTACAGGGTTCCTGATATGGGAGTCACTGTAGCAATACCATCATACTTATAAGACCTTGCAGCCAAGTTCAGTTATGTCCTGGCTGAAATTGTTTGAATTGTGAATCCCTCTTCATTGGTTCCTTTTTGTAACATTGAATAGGGACTGCTTGATTCTGAAGAACGTTTTTGTATTTATATGTGTGGTGGGTGTGTAACAATGCTCACTTCATTCTGGTATGATGTTAATTACCAGAATACTTGCATCAGTAATATTTTCTGTTAGTAAAGCCTTTTCTCAGGTACTCTTAATATCTTGTAATAATAATAATAATAATAATAATAATAATAATAATAATAATAATAATAATAATA